TATTTACAAACCTCCTGGCGGCACAAGGTCGAGACTTAAGAATGGCGCTGAGCCTTCCATCTTTCCTTGGAAAGATCCCAATTCAAAGCCAAAACGACGTAAGTTAGTTCGGCAAATAGCAGAGTCTGAACCATCTGTATCAGTGGGTAATATAAATACCGAGGATCAAATGGAGTTTGAAAGTCTAGAAGACGTGCCATTACCTGAGTCAAGCTGTTCAACGTGTACTAGTTCAACACCCTCAAGTCCAGACGAATCACTAACGAACGATAAGGGAACTCAAACAGATTTCGATTCAAGCTCAGTTAACTTGGATGAGCATAATTATTCCTTCTCTTTTAGAGTCAAGACTGATACTTTTGGTGAGCAAAAAGAGTACATAAAGAGACTTGAAGAGAAGATTGAAGAACAATCTCTTCATATCAACACACTGAAGCAAGAAATAGGATCCCTTAAAAAGCATATACATGAATATGAACAAAAGAAATTCAGTCTAGAGAAWTTTAAAGACGAKGATAGTGCCATAAGTTTCTATACAGGATTCCCAAACTATGAAGCTTTAATGGCTRTGTTTGAATACCTTGAGCCAAAAGCCCCCAAACTACAGTACTGGAATGGGCAGTATGGTCCTGATAGTCGCAGCTACCAGGACAATCCACAGTCGAAACCTGGACCGAAAAGAAAWCTTACTAGCCTACAAGAATTTTGGATGGTACTCGTTCGACTTAAAGTTGGTCTATTTGTTAAAGACCTGTCGGACAGATTTGACATATCTACAGGACACTTCTCCAAGATTTTMACTACCTGGATAAACTTTCTATTTGAAGAAGTAAAACTGATCTTCCCCTTTCCCTCRCAATCTGWTGTGCTACGCAATATGCCAGTAGAGTTTTCTCGCTACCCAAGAACAAGGGTCATTATTGACTGCACAGAAGTATTTATTGAAGTGCCATCTTCATTGAAAGCACAGTCAGAAACATGGTCTAACTACAAGCWCCATAACACATTCAAAGTGCTTGTAGGCGTATCAMCAAATGGCCAAGTTATATTTATTTCTAGTTTGTGRGGAGGAAGAGTCTCKGATAAAGTTATCACTAGAGAATCAGGAATACTGGATTTAGTTGATGTTGGAGATAACATMATGGCAGACAGGGGAYTTGACATAGCAGATATTCTACCTCCAGGAGTCCATCTCAATCTACCGCCATTCAAAGGCACAAGGCAGCAGTTAACAGCAAAGGAGGTCGAGGAAACAGCAAAGATTGCGTCTGTCAGAATACAYGTTGAAAGAGCAATTGGTAGAATAAAGAACTACCACATTCTTGACGGAGTACTCCCAATAAGTCTTTCCCATGTTGCTGACCAGATTTTTACTGTTTGTAGTTRCCTGACTAACTTCCTACCACCACTTCTCGAGGCAGGCAATAATGATGACACATGAACACACTAMAATAATGCCTTATTGAAATCATTTCGAGCTTATAGARTGATAATACACAATTGAATAATATAGTGCACTGATATTGCTTTGAAATAGGACTTATGTTGCTTATGATTACATGTAAATTGAACTGTACGCAATAGCATCTGAGTTGAGTTTTATCACTCTATTCAAATATTGCATGTATACCAAAGAGAGTCAGGCACATTATACACTCAGCAATATTGTAAATATAGTATTTATAGTATTTATCAATTTTCAATTCACTGTGAATAAACTGTATTGATAGTGTTAGCAGTCTCGAGACCATGGAATGTTACTAAAACAGAATGAACATAATTATACTTTGCCTTTTATTACTAATAGTACTGCCATGAATGCTTGTGACATCTTAATTACATCATTTACATAAGTAGAAATCACTAATACATAATTGTGATTWATTCTTTTTGTAATATGACAGGGTTTTTTTGAAGTTTTAGAGTTCATCAGTAAAAGCTTGGAACATTCAATACTAACTTTATTGTGAAGTATTGTAGAATTCTGAAAAGTATTAATGGTTCATGCTTTTACTATCCTATTCATTGTCAACCATAATCATTGAACAGTGGTCTTTACTATTCTAATCCATGTGTATAGTCATTCATGTGCAAACAAAACAACACTGATCGTTGAAAAATATATTATTTTATATCATATTGTATCAAAAAATACTTTGTAGATATATCTTTTGCTTTAGGTTAGATAGATTTTAAGATTTGAAAATGTTTCAACATTTTATCATTGTAAAATATTGGATTAACTTGAAATAAAACCAATAATAATATTGGTTCAACAATAAAAACTCAAGTGCCAAAAAATGTCCTCTTGCAATATACACTTAATTGCAATATCTAGGGATTTCTTTTCCTTGCACAACATTTTTAAATATTGTACTGATGTACAATTGATTAATAATATTTCTCTGATAGAGTGAACACATTGAACCTGTAATAAAACTGTAATAGTCAAATAGACAATAATAAAATGTAATACTCAAATAGACAATAATAACATGTAATACTCAAATATATGGTTCATTGCGTTCACTCTATACAAACATTAACAACTATTTAATTAAAATCCTATTTACAAGCCATCAGGTTTTTAAATGAGATCATGCTTGTTAAACAATTATTACTGTGTATTTATGAGGACCTCAGCTTTTTAGATTGTCCATAATGAGCCCATCCACCATGTCTGTACAAGGGGACTCCTCTCTTCACTCTTCTGGTTAAAACCTCTGGCAAGAAAGCCCTCTTGTAGAAATACATCAACGCAGGCATTGCTTCCTTTACCCACCATTCACTGTCAAATTTAAGTCTCTGGACTGCAATATCGTCATGGCCAAACCATACAACAAAGTCAACCCATGGTAGATTGCAAACATAMATTTGCCCCTGGATCTGGTAAAAATAGGCATGGCTTCTCTTTAGAACTGGGTGTCCATCTGTAAGTGTGAGGTAGAACTTACTATCACTACAAGCCTCTCTGACACTCATACCACGCTTGGAATATGGACATTTCACTTCAAGTCCACCTTTTGTTCCATCTTTAGAGCAGGGATCAAACACCAGTCTATCCAAGCTTGCACCTAGACCAGGTGTTTTACTGGATATGTATGTCCCCACTTCAGTTACAGTAAGCTTGGTATTGCCTGCTGCATGGTGTAACGCAACATAGCAATCTACAGCGTCCTGTTCATATTTTATTCCATAAGCAAGTGATGGGACCACTTTCTGTTGTTCCTTTATGTACATGATGTCATTTAAAAGGAGGTCTGGTTCTTTTCTTCTGATAATTGATTTCTTAAAGTTTGATGCAGTAAGAACTGTTTCTTTTAACTTTTTCCATTCTTTGTTTTCATTCTGACCTCTGGTTTTCCTCTCAGTTTCTCTTACTTCCTCATCAGATATCTCRTGTCCTTCAACATAACAGTCAATGATTTGCTTGAATGCTTTAGTATTAATGTTATAATCATCACTGAATGGGRCATCTTCTGGGTCACATTCTTCAGGTTGTTGAAGTTCACACARATCAWTTGCATCACCAGGAATGGATTCACAAATACTGTCAATTTGAACAGCAGAAGAATCTGATGGYTTAATATTATGAAAAAGAAAGAAGCTGCTGCTCTGTAAGCAGCGAGACAGTTTTTCTCCCATTGCTGCCAAAGCTTGAGTGTCAAGACCCCTATCTTCCGGGKCACGTGGGTCATAAGATGTGATCTTGGCACGTGAAGATGTCGCTTTGCCATATCTGATTTTCTGAAAGACTATGTTGTCAACTGGACTTGGCTCTACTTTCATATTCCTGGGAACWTTCCAGCCGCATAACTTTGATGTGCAAGACACAGGTTGATCCTTTTCTTTAAGTCCAGACCGGTTGAAATCTTCAATCGCAAAGACTATCCCTCCAATGTGGTTGCATCGGCCCATTCCACCTTCACCTTTCCTAGAAAATTAAAACCATTTTACATTAGAAGCTGTTGATTCATTGACATATCTCARTCTATTACATGATGTAATTGTACTAAATATTCTTTAAGACATCTTTGTTAATAAGAAAGATAGAAAACATACAGTAGTAATAAAATTCAAAAGACTATTATTAAAAATTATATATAACAAATCATATAAAYAACAATTCTTCTTACCCTGCAGGGCACTTGCAAGCAGCTCTCACAATATCATTGCTAGTTCGATCGAAAACCAAGACTGACTTGTATTTTTCGGATTTCATTGAGGCAAGAACCTCTCCTTTGACAAAGACATGGTTGTCTTTTTGGCATAGTTGAAGGTCCTTTATATGRCCTTCTTTGAAAAAGTTGAAGGCTTTCAACTTTTTGTAACCAGCGCTAGCTGACACATCAAGATTGCTGTACTTTGAGGTCTTCTTTACCAGATAATCGTAGAGTTGTACGAATGTAAACGCGGGAAGTTCTCTAAGGTCTTTACTCCACACGCAATTGTTGGCTTCTCTAATAATYACTTCGTAAGAAATATCACCAGAAGATGTCGTAGAAGGCACAGAATCGTTTGTTATGTMATTCAATGGACCTCCTTTCGATCGTTCGACAAGAACGAAGCAACGTAGGACAAGATCTTCTTTTCTTYCGCTTGTTGGCTCCCCAGATTTCTTTAAAATCGCTTTCAGCTGTTCTACCTTTAATTTTCTTAAGTCTTCTGAAGATTTGAATTGGTTTAGTTCTTTAAMACTTTCGTTTGAAGTCATGAGTCAAATATAAACAACAAGGACGCTAGGAAAACTACACGAAGCACGCTGTGTTAGCCTCATTTTCATGACTCGGCCAGCATTGGGGGAGACTGAGACCGAGTTGTGTCGGGGAACTCGAAAATGGAGTAT